CTCATGTGATGTTCCCTGTGTTTAGTCCAATTGCAGCCCTCTAAGGCATGTGACTGTATTTTCTGTCTCTTCCACTACAGGGGTTTGTCATTATAAAATATTTCATTATTACTGCTACACTGTAATGGTTTTATAGAACAACATGAATCACATTCCATTTGTACTTTCATCCCCTCTTTTCATGTTTACAAACCTGAACCTCAAAAAGGTTATGTTGGATTTCCCCAGAGTCCTTACTCTGGATCTTCCTAGAAGAAGCAAAGTTATTTTCACAAGAGAACATAGAAATCAAAGACAGAAATATGTTATTACCACATGCAGTGAAAATGTGTAATCAGAATCAGAAAAGTTAAGGTTTCAAAGTTTGGTGGTGAATATTTGACATGAGTGATGTTAGTTTTTAGTTAAGATGATAAATTTTATTTGTCTTACCTCCTCCTGTCTGTAGGAAAAAATTTAGTAAACGCATGCGCAGAAAATATATTTTCATTCAAAACAGTACAATACAGCATTAAAAATTGTGTTTGCTGATGGAGCTAGAAAAAATAAAAGGAAATCAAAATCAGTTATCCAGCTCTGCCCTAGCTCCTCTGGAGATCTGTTTAGGTAAAACAATATGTGACAATAATAAAAGTGTGGTTAAAACACTCTATACATGAAAACTCAATTAATTTATTTTAGTCAAGTCAAGTCAAGTCAAATTAAATATATTTAAGAACACAGATCCACCACATTTTCATTGTTCTCCTGGGTCTAAAAAGGTCTTAAAAAAGGTCTAAAAAAAGGTCTAAAAAGGGGCGTTCCCCTAAGAGAACCGTCCTGTACACATGAGAGAGAAATTCTTTGGTTATTAAAATCTCCTATTTATACATAAATGATCTAGCATCCTTTAATTTTCTCAAAAATCAACAGTGAACCAAGATATGTCTTTTTTGTTATTATTATTAGTGTTTACTGCTTTGTTGTGAAGTTGATAAAATTTGTATATTGGCACCTCTTTTTTACATGATCTATCAAGGCAAATCTGTACATCAATCACTGTTATCTCCCCCTTTTTTCTGAAACAGGACACACCGTTCAGTGTGTCCTGTTTCAGAAACATCTAAAAGTTTTCCCTGCCTCGTGTTTGCCCAAAATACTTTTTATGTGTGACCTAAATTTTTTCCTGTACATAATTATTTATTTATTTATCAAAGTAGCGCTCTATAGGAAATATGAGATCAACCACAATTCAGAGTTTCCAGCTTAGATTGTACACCTCCGAGCAAAACCTACTAGTACCCAGTTTAATACTCTCAGATTTATCCTGTATGCTATATTTCTAATCTGATGAATTAATCTATTTAGAGCAGAGGAACGGGGGGAGTCTGCTTACCATGATTCTGAAGTGACCCTCAGAGAATCTTTGTGATGATGAGAGGCATATTTCCAGTCTCCTAGGAGAGAAGTACTGGCCAACCCCCAAAGCAAGCAACTATCCCAATTAGAAAAAATCAGAGCTTTGAACGAGCCTGGGTCAAGCTTTTAGAAGTATGAAGATCCTCCAGTTGCTTGTTTGACAAGTAAGACTTAAATCCAATCCCATTTCAGTGAGAAGAGAAATAAATCCCAGCCTCGTCTCCAACTGATAGAATCCAACTCCTTTTGGGCTTCTCTGATCCTCCGAGCTGCTTCTTGCTTGTAGTTCCTTCTGCTCGACTCTTTGACTCAGCTTTGACCAAGTTTCATCAGTTCAATCTGTATTTAAAGACTCCTTTTTCCTCCTCCTCTTAAGGAAGGGTTAGAGGCCTTTCTTGGAAAATGATATCATCTTTTTTCCAGTAACTAACTGTTGTTTTGCACCTCAACCGGTTCTAACTGGCTCTTTGGGTTTTCCCCAAAGTTGTTTCTGCTAGGTGTGGGTACTTTCCAGAACTTGAGAAAAACAAGCTGTTTCCTGTTTTTGCTCTGGGTACTTTTCCACAAAGCTGTTTTTGCTCTGCTTTCGGTACTTTCCAGAACTTTGTTATTCACTTTATGTTTCCTGTTTTGCTCAGAAGTGCGTCACCACGAGATGAGCTGAGTTGAACCTCATGACCTTTTGTTCTTTATAATGTTTTTCATACATGTTTTTCCATTGTCAGCTTAGAATATCTTATGCAGAACCTTACAAGGTTTATATATTAACCATCTTCCTAGTTTGAACTCTGTTCTTTTCTTTCTCTCTGCTTAAGACATGTTCAGACTTGCCTATGGTTCATCAGGTCTCGGATCTGCTCCTTTCACTTTAACACTTTCAAATAACAAACAAATCATACAATCATACAATTGGTTATACAATTCTTGTAATTCATTACATCTCATTAGTTGATTACTTGTTGATTATTGGTAAAACATTTTTGGTTACACATTATTATATTTAGCTTGATTTAAAACAGAAGGTCAGTCCTTTTGTTTTCAGCTGTTGAGGAGAACTTGATCAGGCTTCACCTTCATTAAAGCTGGTTGTCCGTTACATCATCACTTAGACACCAGGTTTATCGACACAATTTACAATCTGTGCCTCATTTACCCATTCACACAGCTCTCTACTAGATTTCTACAAAGCTAATTGAACAAATCATTCTAAAGAGACTAATAAGAACTTTTATCACATTCAGACACTGATGGGACACACATCAGAGGCAATGAGGGGTTCAGTGTCTTGCCCAGGGACACTTCAGCATGTGACTGCTGTTGGATTCAAACCCCCAACTCTTGCAGTGGAGGACGACTGCTCTAACCACTCAGCCACAGCCGCCCAAATAAAACAAACGTCATTAATGATTTGTTTTTCTTTCTTAGAAACAGGAAAAATAAGGTAAACATTTGTCAAACTTTAGCTGACTCTGTGTCCAAGAATGAGAAATGTGTAGAAAAACATCAGTCATTATTCAAGCCAGAAGTAACTTTAAAGAGCACGATTCATGGTGAGTCTGAAAGATGAACAAGGGTCAGAGGTCATAGTTAAAGCAGTGCAGCTTCGTGCTACAGATGCATCACAAACAATGATGAGTCCAGCTACAGGCAGGAGGTGGAACACCTGAAGAGCTGGTGCAGGAAGAACAAACTTCACCTCAATGTGAATAAGTCAAACGCGTTGGTCGTGGACATGAATAAGTCAAAGGCGTTGGTCGTGGACTTCAGATGGAACAAACACACCTACCCCCCACCCCACCTGAATATAGGAGGATTTGTGGTGAAAGTGGTCTCCAGCTACAAGTAATTGGGTGTACACCTGAATGACATTCTCAGCTGGGGCAACAACACTTCCAGCATGATCAAGAAAGCTCATCAGAGACTCTACTTCCTCTGGCGGCTGAGACGAGCTGGTCTGGGAAGCTCAGTCCTCACCTCCTTCTACAGGTGTGCAGTGGAGAGCATCTTGTGCTCCAGCATCAATGTGTGGCATGGAGGCTGCACAGCTGCAGAAAGAAAAAGTTTGCAGAGAGTGGTGAAGGCTGCACAGAAGATTTTGGAATCAGCCTCCCCACTATCACAGACATCTACACCTCCAGATGCAGGAAGAGGGCCACCTGCATCATGAAGGACCCCACTCACCCAGCACACACACTTTTTGCCCCGCTCCCCTCAGGAAGGAGGTTGAGGAGCATTAAGTGTAGAACCACTAGACTGAGGAACAGCTTCTACCCTGAGGCTGTTAGACTCACGAATCTCTAACCAGAATAATCACTGTGAAAAAATAAATCACTGTAATGCCACTTGATTGTTGATATGTGCTGCTGAATATCCATGTTATTGATTTTATGCTCCTGATTTATTTTATGCTTCTGATTTATTTTATGCTGCTGATTTATTTTATGCTGCTGTATTCATTCCTACTGATCTGCCCACACAGACTCATGTTGGTGCTGCTGTTGTTTGGTGTATTGTTTTTGTACTATTTGTGCTTAGTGAATTTTTGTTTTAGCGTATTTCTTAGTTCCTATATTAGATCTTACTCATGTTTTTTCTTTACAATGTATAAATTGTAAAGAAAAAATTTACAATGTAAAAAATTGTTTTGTTGTATGTAACTGGGACCCTGTGTACACAAATTTGCTCCACCACATGTACCACATGTGGTGTGAACGACAAATAAAGACACTTTGACTCATAGCAGCTGCATTTCTAACAGCCTGCTACCAAAATAGCCATTGTCCCTCCTCTGGACATGTGCAAACCATCTCAGTCTGGCCTCTCTTTTATCTCGCAGTTGTTCAACCTGTAATATACCTCTGATGGTCTCATGCCTAATCTTAGCCGTCCTTTTGTTTTATTTTATTAACCTTTATTTAACCAGGCAAATCCCATTGAGATCACAGATTTCTTTTGCAAAGGAGGCCTGGGCCTGAGGGCAGCCTAACATGCATGTTGTTGGTCTTTGATCCTTGTCACTCCTAAGGAGAACCTCAACATCTTCATTTCTGCCACTTCCAGTTCTTTCTCCTGTCCATGTCTCTGTTTCCAGACCATACAATATAGCAGGTCTCACCACTGTCTTGCAAAATTTTCCTTTGACCTTTGCTGACACACTTTTGTCATAAATCACTCCTGAAACTTTTCTCCATCCACTCCATCCTGCCTGGACTCTCTTCTTCACCTCTTTACCACACTCCCCATTTTCCTGGACAGTGGACCCCAAGTACTTGAAGTCCTGCACCTTTGTGCCCTCTGCTCCTTGTAGCCTCACTGTTCCACCTCCTCCCTCTCATTCACACACATGGACTCTGTCTTACTACGGCTGACTTTCAGTCCTCTTCTTTCAAGTGCATACCTCCACCTCTCCAAATTCTCTTCCACCTGTTCCCTGTTCTCACCACAGATCACAATGTCATCTGCAAACAAATGGAATAGCCTTGAGTTGGTAAAAATATAATGTTATACTTTCAAATATAGGATCAAAGAAATATTTATACTGTTAATTCAGTTAAATGTTGGAGTTCTAATTGACTACTTTTGTTTTGAATTGTGATTGACAGTTCTACATATATGCCCGCCATCTGGCCCTCAGCAGAACTTTCCCCGACAAGTTCAAGATGGATCCCAAAGCTCCTGTGAAGGTGAGAAAAGTGGCAACTATTGTTCCAGTTTTAAAAGTAGCACATGCAAATTGTTTAATGGCTGTTTATAGATGTGTCATCTGAATTTATCACAGTTGAGCTTACGTAAAAATGTTTGTGGGATCTGAATGTTAGCAGAATCCTTTCTGCTTGGATCAATTCAACTCAGTTCAGTTTATTTATAGGCACAAGAGAAGTCATCTCAGGGCTCTGAACAGAAACATTCGTATACGTATAAAAATAACGTTAACAAAAACATTCATAAAAATAATAATTTAACATTATTTATCTGAGGCGCAGACTGCTTGGAATTTAACTCCATCACAGGGATCAGAGATTTCCTGAGAGATAGACATCAGCAGGTTTGAAGGAGCTTTGGTAGCTTAGTGGTCAGTGCTGCATTCTAGTAATCCTGAGGCTGCAGGTTCAAGCCCAGGTTGCAACAAGAACGACATCTGGTGCAACAATCTAAAAAGCTATGTGTGATTTTGTGTGATCCCTGTTGAAGGGAACAGAAAAAAAAACTCAGTGGGTTTGTTGTGATAGGGATGGCCTGTTCATTTTGAAGTAATATTCAGAATCAGAATCAGAAAAAACTTTATTATCATGATTTTTAAAACTTATTCAGTCAGTAACAGCCAGTACCTCATCAATAGTCGTAGAGCACAGAGAATGATGATTAGGATAGAAGTCTCCCAACAAGCTAAGCTGAAGGGATCGCCAAATAGGGGCCCATTTTTTTATTGTGTTTCAGGTTTATAAAATAACTCTGTCCAAAACGCTCCTTCAGCTAATATAACTTCTACACTTTTGTATATATCCTGATGCATGCTCAATAATCCAGGTAGAAAAATCTAAAAAAGTTAAATCTGGTCCTCTGGACATTCAAAAAAACCAACAAAACAAAGCAAATCAACAAAACCCTGGCGGTCTGATCCTCGGCTACAGAAGCTGGCTATTGGGATGTGGAATGTCACCTCACTGGTGGTGAAGGAGCCTGAGCTAGTGTGTGAGGTTGAGAGGTTCCGGTTAAAAATAGTCTGACTCACCTCTACGCATGGCTCTGGCTCTGGAACCAGTTTCCTTGAGAGGGGTTGGACACGCTTCCACTCTGGAGTAGCCCCTGGTGAGAGGCGCCGAGCAGGAGTGGGCATACGTATTGCCCTCTATCTTGGTGCCTATGTGTTGGGGTTCACCCCAGTGAATGAGAGGGTGGCCTCCCTCCGCCTACGTGTGGGGGACAGGTTCTGACAGTCATTTGTGCTTATGCACCAAACGGCAGTTCAGATTATCTGCCCTTTTTGGAGTCCTTGGAGGGGGTACTGGAAAGCGCACCTCCTGAGGACTCCCTTGTTCTGCTGGGGGACTTCAATGCTCACTTGGGCAATGACAGTGAGACCTGGAGGGGTGTGGTAGGGAGGAACGCCCCCCCCCCCCCCCCCCCCCCTGAACCCAAGTGGTGTTCTGTTGTTGGACTTGGAGATCCAGAGTCTCCTGTGAGACAGAGCTTTAACTCCCACCTCAGGGGGAACTTCGAACATGTTCCGGGAGAGATGGGGACATTGAGTCCAAGTGGGCCATGTTCCATGCCTCTATTGCTGAGGTGGCTTACTGGAGCTGTGGCTGCAAGGTTGTCAGTGCCTGTTGCAGCAGCAACCCTCGAACCCGGTGGTGGACACAGTCGGGGAGGGATGCTGTCAGGCTGAAGAAGGAGTCCTATTGGGCCTTTTTGGTCTGTGGGACCCCGGAAGCAGCTGATGGGTACCGGCAGTCCAAGCGACATGCGGCTCGTGGGGTCGCTGAGGCAAAAACTCAGGCATGGAATGAGTTCAGTGAGGCCATGGAGAACGACTTTCGCACGGCTTAGAGGCAATTCTGGTCCACCATCTGGCGTCTCGGGGGGGAAAGTGGTATACCACCAACACTTCTAGGAACTTGGACTTCCGGTAAGATGGCACCCGTGTACATGGCTTGCAATCCACCTCTGCTGATGGTGTTCGGATTATTTTTGATTTTTGCATTTCTCATCTGTGACATCAACTCTCTGCTGGTGTATGACAGACAACAACTTTTGGATCTTCGTTTTTCTGTCACTGAAGTCGCTTATTTGGAACAATATGAGCGTACCTCTGGACCCCCTCCCCCCCTGCTGGCGGACGTGCCAGTTTACCTCCGCTGTGCTCCTCACCTCCCTGCCCTGAGATATCGCTTCAGACGCAGGGGAAAACATGCTGGTCAGCTGGTGAAGCTTAAAGCTCTGCGCACTGCATCTTCCTCTCCAGCTGGTGGTCATGGTCTCCATCGCCAGCTTCCTGTGTGCCCGGACCAGGTAACCAACGTGAGTTGTCAGCCGGTGCGCAGCTTGGACCGACCTGGAAGGGCTGTTATTGAAAACCTGCGGCCATTAGCGCGCGCTAACACCACCGCTGCTAGCTCCACTTCGGACAATATCCGGATGTGTTTGGTCAATGCAAGATCTGTTACCAACAAAACTTTTATCCTCAGGGACTACTTTCAAGAGCACAATTTGGAACTTCTGTGTATCACAGAGACTTGGATGTCTCAAGGTGAGTCCAGCTCCTTGACGGAATTATTGCCACCGAACTGTTTGTATTTTAACGCCCCGCGGCCATCAGGCCGGCGCGGTGGTGGATTATTAACAATATTCAAATCAACTTTTGACTGTAAACAACTGCCCATCCCAGTTTCTCATGCTAGCTTTGAGCTGAGCGTCTTTGAACTCGGACATTCACCTCAGACTTTATTTGCACTCGTCTACCACCCACCTCGGTCTAAGGAATTTATAAATGAGTTTTCTGACTTCTTGGCTGAAATCACACCAAAATATGAGCATGTTTTCATTATTGGGGACTTTAATTTGCACGTGTGCTGTCCTGAGAAGCCCTTGGTTAAGGACTTTTTAGATCTATTGGACTCATTTAATTTAACTCAGCATGTATACTTTCCCACCCAAGAGTGTGGACATACACTGGACCTTGTTTTAACTCATGATATGACTGTTAATAATCTTGTTATTGGTGATAATGTTTTTTCAGACCACACGCCAGTCCATTGTGAGTTCATTCTCTCCCATCTAACTCCTAAGCCGTGCATTCCTGCACGTAGGACCCGGACCATTAACTACTTCACTGCCGCACGCTTCACAGATGTTTATAACTCTGAAATGATAATTCAGGCCCCAGTGTTTCTCACCACCACTGAGGAGCTGACATCCCAATTCAACTCTGTCTGCTTAAAGACTCTGGATCATGTTGCGCCTGTTAAAACTAGAAAATCAAAACTGAGAGCAGAACCTTGGCTGAGTGACGTCACCAAGGCCGTTAGGCAGCAGTGCAGGAGGGCGGAGCGAAAGTGGAGGAAAGACAGGCTGTAGGTCTCTTTTCAAATACTTAAAGAGAGTTGGCGCCGTTATCAGAAAGCAGTGAAAGCTGCAAAATCCAAATACTTCTCTGATATAATTACGTCAAACTCTCACAACCCACGTGTCCTCTTCTCCACCCTAAATGCTGTTCTCCACCTCACTGAACCATCACCTCTGGAAGCCTCGACTGAGCTGTGCGACAACTTCTTACATTTCTTTTTGGAAAAAATTGCGACCACCAGGGCTCTCATTTCCCTCCAACTCATGACCCATCCATCCCACTTCAATCTGTAGCTCCTTTTGACCATTTTGAACCCATCACTCTATCTTCTCTAGAGCAGGTCATGTGCAGCTTGAAACCTTCTGGCTCCCCCTTTGATGTGGTCCACCTTCGACTACTAAAGGAGGTTTTTCCAACTCTAGGTCCATCCATTCTTGATATAGTAAACAGTAGTTTATCCACTGGCATGCTGCCAAAATCCTTTAAACATGCTGCCGTCCAGCCTCTCCTTAAAAAACCAAACCTTGACCCCCTTAGTCGTTTCCAACTACCGGCCTGTCTCCAAACTCCCATTTGTTTCTAAAGTATTGGAGAAAATAGATGAGTCCCAGTTTAAGTGCTTCCTAGAGGATCACGCCATCTTAGAGCTTTTCCAATCTGGCTTTAAACCTCTCCACAGCACTGAAACTGCCCTGCTGAAGGTCTTTAACGACATCTTCAGATTCACAGATAACGGTGATTCTGTGCTGCTTGTCCTGTTGGACCTCACAGCCGCCTTTGAAACCATTGACAATGAGATCCTCATTACTAGGTTGGAGCAGTGAGTGGGCGTCACAGGATCAGCCCTCAATTGGTTCAGATCTTACCTTGCTGACAGATCCTTTTGTGTCTCCATCAAGGATTTTAGTTCTGCAGAGGCAGAGCTTAAATGGGGGGTTCCGCAGGTGTCCATCCTGGGTCCCCTCCTATTCTCTTTATACCTGCTGCCGCTTGGTGCTATTTTCTGGAAACACAACATGCCCTTCCACTTCTATGCCGATGACTGTCAAATTTACTTCCTCCTAAGATACAATGGTACATGTTCTATTCAACTGCTACTCAACTGCCTGGCTGACATCAGGGACTGGATGGCATTAAATTTCTTGAGTTTCAATGAAAAGAAGTCTGAAGTCTAGTTGTTCCCTCCCAATGACACGATCCTTGTGACTCTGGGTCGGGCCCTCCAATCTCTGGTGCTGAGGTCACCGAGGTGGTTAAAAAGTTTCTCGGTGACAGGGCCCCATGGGTGGATGAGATTCGCCATGAGTTCCTTAAGGCTCTGGATGTTGTAGGGTTGTGTTGGCTTACGCGACTGTAATATTGCGTGGACATCGGGGGAAGTTCATCTGGATTGGCAGATCGGGGTTGTGGTTCCCCTATTCAAAAAGGAGTCCATAGAGTGTGTTCCAACTACAGGGGGATAACGCTCTTAAGCCTCCCTGGTAAGGTCTATTCGGGGGTTCTGGAGAGGAGGGTCCATCGGATAGTCGAACCTCGGATTCAGGAGGAGCAGTGCGGTTTTTATCCTGGTCGTGGAACACTGGACCAGCTCTACACTCTCAGCAGGGTCCTGGAGGG